CTGGCACTGCGCCCTCCAAGGTCAAATCAACATCGCCACAGCCCTTGTTTTGGGCACTTCTGCCCGAGGATTGGCTCGGCGCGCCGACGCCGAGAGCTTCGTTCAGCGGTTGGCACGGACCTCCGAAAGGGAGCCCCCTGTGGTGGTCATGGTCAGTGGACAGGATGATACGACGCATTCCGCTCACCGGCTGGCGTGGTCCTCGAAGGTGCGCAGATGCCGCACCTTCTGGGCATGATGCCTCTCCTTCAAGCAACGCAGCCGTAAGCAGCCCAGTACGTTTGGGACTCGAAAACAGCTTGAGATCAATAAGATGAACCCTATATTGGTATGCACTGAAATGTGGATGGATGGTTCTGGATTTGCTAGTTATATATATATAATTATATATATAACACTTTGATGCTGCCCAAGATGGACAAATAAATCAGGAAAATGATGAAACAACACACACAACATATTTGAACAAACAAACCAACTAACATGGGGCAGTATACCTACTGACCTACTGGGGCTAGTACCTGCTACTTAAGTACCTGAGAAAACAAACAATATAGCAATTGTGCCTCCTTCCTTGCCGCTCAAAGGACCTGCTGGCTCTTTCTAGGACGTGTTGCTATTGGCCTTGCTTTCACATTCTGGTTGGTGGTTTCAACTCGCGAACAAAATATGAGTCAGTTGGTTCAATCACCCCGAGTAAAGGTTTCAAACACAAAATCCAAAACATTTGAACACCCAAGGACCCCATGTGATGTCTGAGTTTGTTTTGGTGACACCGTGCCGCAAGACCTTCTCTCCGCTTCGGGGAACATATAGCTGGATCTTCCAACTGTGCGACATGTTGCATAGTTGGAAGATCTGGGTCTGCGGCCCAATCTCGTGCTGACGGACCAGTGACCAGGTCCTTTTGGAGTTATAAAACGTGTCACATCCCTTGCTCCAACATGGCACCCTGTATGGAAGGTGGCCCTGACAGACTGACCCCACAACCAGTCTTGAAACAGTGTCCTGGGCCCCAACCACTGTCCATATACTGTCCACGAGTAATAGAACGCCGCACGACTTGGGCACGACTCTCAAAAAAGGCACAGCCTGAGGGTCCAAACCTTTAGGACACATTCTGAACCACCAGTTTCTGGGAGCCTGAGGTCACCGACTGCATGGGGGAAGAGAACAAATCCAAGCTGTGCCGCTTTCCCTCTCCTCTCAGGTCCCACCCTTTTGAACCTCAGTTGAATCCTCAGTTGAATGAAAATAGGACATGCCATGACCCTAATAAAACAGGTACGACTGTACCCATTTTCCGACGCACTTGGAGGGTCAAGGTACATGATCATGCCTTGCCTTAGAGGATTTCGAGGATCAAATCCAACCAGGCTGCTGGATGCCTGGTCGAAATGACGACAAAGAGACATCGCCGCATCCCATCGTGGTATCTGTCTGAGCGAGACATGTCTGTCCGCAGCAAGTGACAAGGGATGTTTCAATTCTCCAAAGCCCCAGAGTCGTTGCTTGCCATCAATCCGTTCAAACATTAGACAGCCAGAATCTATGTCTTATACTTCAATATTTATGCCATTGCAATTCCCTATCTACTCTCTGAACAAACATGCAAACTGCGAATAGATTGACGGGATGAGAGTGAAGACGTAGTAAAGATGTAAACTGAAAACACATGTAAACTGGGATGAAGGACCTCTTCAAACACTTAAGACTCCGCACAAACCCAGGGATTCGAGATCAGCAACGAGATCAGCAACGACCTAACTACCTGGCAACTTACCTGGGACAAGGTGCTTTTGTCCAGGACCCCTCACTGTAGGCCATCCTACTGTTGGAAGAATCTATTATACATGCTATTATATCCCTGTAAATTTCAGGCGAGGGTTCAGACGCTGATTCTATATAAGTTATAGACCTCTTCTCTTGGGCGGATCCAACATGGATGCGTCTGACACTTCCACGATCTTCGCCATTTTCCGGACAACTGCACACCTGCGACACCGCCCACAAACCCACCGATCCACACCCGCCTTCTCCACCTGGCCGTGGCTGTGGACGAAAAACCACCGATCCGCACAGCTGCAGAGTCCAATCTGCCGAAGTCCATTTATAGGTCGTGTCCCCAGATTTGCTGTCCAGGAACCTGGGAAAAAATGAGAAAACAGAATGCTATTGAATGCTGATTTACCCTTATAGGGAAACTCAACAATCACCTGAAGCAACACCAGGCGATTGGCTTGGGAACCGATGCCGATCCACTGTAAAGCAGATGCCGGTGTAAACAACACCCAGCTTGGACATAAAGTTGAGCATGCACACTAGCTTCTCTATGGTGCAACTTTTGACTGAAGTGGAAGCGATACAAATTTATTTATTAGTTGGATGCTTGCTCCTTTCAAACAGCTACACCTACAGGGGGAGCATAGCTCAGGGAAATAAAGACAAATCTGTGCGAAGGCCAGTGGGTTGGTGGGCCTTCTCCAATCTCAGATGTTAAGACCCGATGAGACAATGTGAAATTTGGTTTCAGAGAGGTGGCACAACAGCAGGTCAATTCAGGGTGTGAAACAGGGAGACAACCCGATTTGACCAGAAGAGGAAAACTAGCTTTAACGTAACCCGCAGTGGGCTCTCCCTATTGAAAGGCAAAGCCTATAGTTTATAATAGTTTATATATGTTTATATCTTGAAGGAAGGGAATCCCAGTCCCAAGCCGCTTGGAATTCACATCCATCTACTCTGGTGTCCATCTACCTCCACGGACGAATCCAACATGATCCAACCAAACTTGCTCCATCCTGCTGAAAAACTTCAAGGCCGTCCCGAACGCCTGTGTGGCTTAAGCTTTCTCTTCCCGATCCACGCCGCCGGAGCGCCGCGCGTGTCCCCGGCCGTCCCACTCGCCCATCTCGGATCCCGCGCCAGGTCCGCGATCTCCAAGAGCTCCATGCCAGGGCGCACCTGACCGACCCGACCGAGCATCCGATATTGCGCGAATTCCGCACAAAAAGAACGAAGGGAAAACGACTGCTCGGTTCAAACAATGTCGGCGGATGTTTCGTTTTTCTTTCGCGGTGTGAGCTCACTGATCTGATGGACACAGGGTGGAGGGTGAGGGTGGAGGTAGAGGCCCAGTGGGTAGCCTTTGAGAATTTAGGATACTATATTGACATAATCCGAATAATTGCCAGCATGATATACCCTAATCATTAATCTTCAATTGGTAAAAGGCTATAAACATGTATATATATACCCTGATCTTCCAAACGCTAAGTTAAACTTGGCATTAGGTCAAATGCTAAGTTAAACTACGTCGTTTCGGGATCACGCCATTTCACGCGCATTCACGCATGATCACGCATACTGGGAATTTTCAATTCCTTTCATATCACGATAAATCGTGATCATCGTTTGAACAATCGGCAACGATTCAACTCTGGAATCCGCCATCGCATGCTGAGCAGTCGCATGCGTGCTAATTTCAAAACGGAAACCGGACGGCCCCCACGTTTGCGTTGCCGCCCCTTCCGTTTGCTCCAGTGTTTGAGCACACTCATGTAATCTTCATCGGCAAACGTATGCACATATCTTGGATTCAATCCTGAGATGCGGAGCTGCATAATTGAAGATTAAAGAGGTCATTTTCAAAATCCACAGGTCACTCCCGAGTGATATTTGCAAGTTAGAAACGGAATTCCTTCACGTCGTCCACCAAGATATGACTGAATGCCTAATTTTTTCACAATAGTCGTGTCGGCTAGAAAGGGTTGGCACAGAAGCTCAACGATTCAAAACTCAATGCTTTCAGAGCACATGGAATTTTGGCGTTAGTACCCACGCCAGTTCGGGAATCCTGCGGTAAACATATACAACCATAAAAAAAAGCTCAGAAAGCTCGTTAGTTGTCCTGGCACTCTGGTGGTTGAGCATCACATACGCCTCCAAGTACGTACGACCAGCGCGTTCCATATCCAAGCTCTGTTGAGGGGTCCTCAATTCGGTGTCCAATATAGATCAAATCGATCAGGTTCCAATATGCTTATCCTTGAAAGTTAATTATTTGGAAGATCAGGGATAAAGAAAGTTAATTGTTTGGAAGATCAGGGATAAATTTAAGACCTTTCCCGGAAAAGACAACGCATTAATTATCTAGCCCGTGTTCCTGTAATTCAGAATCCCACAACCAAACCATAATCCCAAAATCCAACTCAAATCGCTGAGTGGCAAAGTCCTCAAAGCTCTCTCAGACAAGGCAAAATAGCGGTTAATACCACTCCTATGCTGGAAATGAACTGGAAATGAACACATCATACAACACATACACCATAGAAACACAACAAACAGGACAAAAATAGTAATCGATAGTAATCGATACAAGTGTCAAAGCTGTCAGGGCAAGATATGCTCTGGCATCTGGAATCATACCCTGGGGGGGTTGGTTCTGGGAGCGGCGTAAGGCATCCTCGAGCCACGATGAAATAACTCTGGCAGCAAAACCTTTGGAATTCAGGTAGCAGCCATACTCTTCTTTAAATATATTCCAGAAGGTGAAGCGACGTTGGCTGACATTCAGTTTGTGAGAGCGTCGCCAAATGTTAAAGTCCTGGTTGGCAGCTTCCAAGGCATCTTTGTACCCGTTGGGGTTGGGATCCATGCCACCACGGTCAACGGGCCCCCAGAAGTGCATATGCAGCAACATAGCCCTGAGTGTTTTTTTGTTTTTATCAACAATAACGTAAAGTTACGGCTACGGGTTGCCAACCAAATAATATAGCCCAGATTTTGTCAGTGTTTGTTTTAAATGATATAACTATGTTTCCAACATATTGCCATAGTTATTTTTTGTGGTAGGTGCAGACAGACTAAAAATAATTATCACATGCATAAATGAAAAAACACAAAACAACAACAAAAAACTGAAGAAATCAACTCAAAGTACATAGTGGATCCATTGGAAATATGCAGCAGACCCAAATTCAATACGTGAAGCGTGCAATGCTTCAGAATGCCGAGTGTGAAGAAATGCAAGTCCGTCAATGGACCTCGTTTTGAAGGATCAAACAAATGTTATTAATGTCTTTTTTGTTTTTTAACCATATAATCATTTGATTCATTTCCCGTCCCTCCATTCTTCACCTCAAATTGGACAGAAACAAACTATCAACAAAGCACAACAACATGCATTGAGCACACCAAAAAATACGAATGCTAAACCTACCGATTCACCCAAAACCAACAACTTCAAGCCCAAGCAGCTCATTGGAAGAGGCAGCTCCTTTTCCAAAAAGTGCTGGGTGCCTTTTCTCGTTGGGATCCAGCCATCGTAGCTCGTGAAGATGTGTGAGCAACTGGCAGTGGTTGCCTCACATCTACAGCAAATGTGCGTTGCTTTCCACCAGCTGACGTGATGGAAAAGGTAATGCTTGAACCATGCCTGATCTCCACGAAGTTCGCTCACAATAAAAGTCCGCCCAAGTATTCCTTCTTCCGTGCATTTGTTGAGAGATTCAACAATTCGTTGGAGAAGCGGAAACAATGTAGTTTGGGCGCTCGCAAGTCTTGGTGATTCTATACAAAATAAAAGCCATCTGGATGCACGAATTGTCTTTGGTCGCCACAATGGTAAGTTCATCGTCACTCCAATGATTTTGTCATATGGATTAACGACCAGCTGCACTGAGGCCTCGTCTCCATGTAAACCCAATGGCCACACCTGCCGATCCTGAAGATTTCGATAAGCCTGGCTCAACCGGGCTTGCTCATCGTTGTGAGCCTCCAGGTGATTCCAATATGTTTTGCATTCTTCTTCTGGAATGGTCAGTTGACAATGCCTCAACAAGTATGTCAAGATGTCCTCTGGTAGCAAACAAGGTAGCACTCCCCTTTCGGTCTTGTCCCCGTGAACCTTCAGCTCCACCTCCACATAGACCGGTTCCTAGAGTCAATCATGTTTAAGAATACAAATTGAATAGCCAATCCTAAATGATCACCAAATATAGATCAAATAAAAATAAAAGATAGTAATGGTTTCTTCCGAAGATCCACCGGAAGTTTCAGGTGCCTCTCGAAGTCTCGTGCTTCGTTCTTGCCACCTCTGTACATGGCAAGTTTGGCAGTCCAATCGCTAGTTGCTCCACGTGATTCCTGCACACAAAACAGTCCGTGATCGATCTATAGTACATTCACTTGGTGTCAAGCCATCCATGAGAAAACAATAGGCAAAAACATGTCCTCGTAAGCTGCCTTGACATCCTTCATGACTCCACGAGCCGATGATTCCTCGTTGACACACCGATTTAATACAGCCGCCAGCTAGTTAAACCGATTGAATATTGTGATCAAGAATAGAACTAACTTTCGAGTCTAGTGGCAGACGAAGCAAGCTTTTCCACACACGATCTTTCTAAAGGTCCCGCATCATCTCCCAAAGCACCTTCTCAAAAATCAATGAACCCCTCAAACTTGATTCGTGCACATTATCTTTATGTTTTATTGTTCCATGCCGTGACAACACCATCCATTTGTCACTTGTAGCAATTAATTGGCACACACTTGTTTGTCTCAGCACATTCACAATATGCCAATTTCCTTCACCGTTGAATGAAATTTCAGCCTTCCCCCAGCACATCCGCATATGATACTTTCCGAGCAACACATCGTTCACACGACTAGCTAGCCGCTAGCCATTCTCAAGTACAACCTGTTCTGACTGGCCAGCTGGAGGTAGACACAAAGCAAAACACGACCAATCTAGAAGTCTGGCGTGGACTCCATGTGTCCCCATAGCCGTTTTGGCTACCCATATACATGGCAAACACGCCCCAACAATCATGGGCCGTCGATCAAACACATCATGCACTGCGCCACATACTAAGCTAAACACAAAACGTAACGAATTATCACACGATGGCAAAATGATATCTTATCACACATTTCAGCAGTGTCAAGTGTGTGCTTTTGATCTAAGCAGACTTGGCCTTTTTGGCCTTCTTGGCCTGCTTAAGCGGATCACATGCCTTCTCAAGCACAGCACGGGCTTCGTCACATGCCACGATCAAGTCATTGTTGACCTGGATGTTCGTGTGCACAACATTTTGTGACAAAATCCAAAGTTAAAGCAACTATATAGTGCCTTCGATTCGTCCAAGGCGGTCTGCAGCTGCTTACGAGCATCCTGGTCCACAAGACTTGTACCGTATGTAACCAACAATGCGGATATCGATATGGACTAATCATCAACAAAACATAGTACACTAGTACTTACAGTAGTTATGTCAATGAAGAACTGTCCATACCCGGTGCCTCAAGAGCTAATTGTCTCTCATCCACATCTTGCTTGATCGATGCGGCGTACTTCTCACCCCTGAGTTGCACAATGGACACGATCAGAGATATGACTGACTGGTAAACCTTCAAAACTATATCTCAATTTATAGCTCTAGGCAACCAACAAATTCTTCAAGTTCTTGTTCAGATGATTGGCCCATTTGAGCTTACTGCTCGCATCCGCCGCAGCCTACAATATGCGGGTAATACATCTATGAGTCTAAGCTACGCTAAAGGAAGATAACAACTGCCTTCTTCGCTTTCCTAGTCAATGTCTTTGGGTCATCCTGCTCTTCAGTCGGCTTTTCTTCCGCTTCCCCCTTGTCCTTCTTTTTGCTCTTCTTGGGTCTACGCTTTTTGTCTTTTTTGTTCTTTTCTTTGTCCTAGTGTCGTTGGTGTCAAGATAAGCTGATCGCTGAAACTCTCGTGAAAAGAACATATGTGTGGCCTAGTGTTTGAAACAAAACGGCCGGCCTTTTTGTTCTTCTTGTCCTTTTTGTGTTTCTTTGATTGGCGTTTGTGCTTTCCAGAAGAGTCCGATGACGAAGGCGAAGACGAGGAATCACAGTCTAAGCAGCTGAAGAGGCGATCAATTGACTCCTCATGGTCTTCTTCAGCGCTCTCATCAATCAAGG